TTTTTTTTTTTGGTATGTTTGTAAAATTATTTAAAATATTCTAGAATGTTGCAAGTATTTTTGGCTTATACAGGGTTTTATGAAAGTAGTTTTAAGACTTTAAGTCCATTTTAATAGTTTTAAGATGAAAACAGTATGTGAAAGTGACTCAGAATTTGTGCTCTGCATTTCACCCATCCAAGTGCGCACACACACACACCGTGAACACACACCCAGAGCAGTGAGCAGCCATTTTTACTGTGGTACCCGGGGAGCAGTTGGGGGTTCAGTGACTTGCTCAATGGTCTCACCACAGTCGTGGTATTAAGGGTGGAAGAGAGCACTGTAGATTCACTCCCCCCACCTACAATCCCTGCTGGTACCGAGACTCGAACCCGCAACCTTTGGGTTACAATTCCGATTCTCTAACTATTAAGCCACAACTGCCCATCGTATAGAGAACATATGTTAACATGTCTAAATGTGCATTTCTAGGGATCACACAATGAGTTCTGTTAGCAATAGTTTGAAAATACAACAGAATTCTATCACAATGCAAATTCTTCCTCAGTATTTTCGTCATTTTCCGGTGTAAAATGTCTTCTAAAATGTTCAAATTTTCTAAAATCAAGACACAGTGAAAAGCAAAATGACAGAAGATAACATGTCTTGTTTTGTGTGAAACTGATCAAAATGTTGTTAACGACTAAAACAAGAACAAATCTGCCAGATTAATCAACTAAATTCAAATGGGAAAGAAAATAAAGAATAAAATTCATTTTTTCAATTTATCATATATCAAGACTTCAACTATCTTTATTTTGCATCCCAAGTAAATGTATCTTGATTTGAGGATGTTTAGATATTTGAACTTGAAAACAAGACAAACATACTGATGAAGATTATTTGCAGTGCATGCAACATTTAATGTTATGACTTTATGAATTTAAGACCTTAATCTGTAGACGGGTTAATTAAGACTTTTTAGGACCTGTGGAAACCCTGTTATACATACAAACTAATGTGAGATGCTAGTGACACATGTATCAAATCAATTCAATAATTGAATAAAAAGCATTCTTTTTAAATGGTACTCTGTACAATGATCCAGTTAGCATACAAAAGTGAGGCAAAAGAGAAAAGTACAGAAAAGAGAGGTAGATGAACGTTGTTAACATTCAGCAATCTTGACAGCAGTGCGAGATAATGAAGACACTCTGCATTCACCTCCAGACATTGTCACTTCCTTGATTGTTCTGGAGGAGAATGTTGTACTTGAGAGAATCAGCGGCCTACCCAGTGCATTTAGATTGTTTTCATCCTCTCTGTATATTAATGATTGAATACGTAGAGATCAAAGTATAGCTGTGAGGTTTTAAATTTGCCATGGAGGATGTCATCAATTGCTCTGCAAGGTTGCGGTCGTTTCATGATCT